CCACAGATCCACTGCTCCGCCTTATACTGCGAAGTATAAACCATCTTAGCACCTTCTGCGTGGACCTTGCATGTTCTTTTTGCGGACGAATGGTTACACTGAATACTCTGGTTTCTTGTATGTGTGTCCACCCTGGCGACCTGCCCCCATTGTCTGCTCCTGTAGGTGAGTCTCAAGCTGCCCACATGCCTATATTGGTCTAAGCAGCTTTGGGACAATAAATTACCAAAACCTCCCACTACAGTTCCATATAATAAAATACAAATCAACCTAATATTTATGACCAGAAATTGGTGTAACTTTGTGAAACCTTTGGTCACACCTGAACGACGAAATCGTTAAGAAGATGGACTATTAGGATGGCTCTTATTATTCTAAACAAGGTACTTAATCTCCTTTTGCTAGGTCCTTTGGAAGAGATGCAAAAGCAAGATCCTGTTGTGTCTCTGGAGCTGTACTTTAGGTGCTGAAATGCAGTTCATATACTGTAAAGTACTCACTTCTGTCAGTTTGCCGGGACAAATATAATCTGCTATTGGTCTATTATACAGTAAATCTTCCAGTAACCAGAGCAAACTAATACAACTCAAAACCTGAACCAATTGCTTCAAGCTTCTTGAAATACCAAATACATACAGTATTAATGGTAAAAGTAGGAACATCATGAAGTTATTAATCTTCAGATGGACAGTATCTTTTTTCCTCTTGCTTTAAAAGACGCGTTGTAGTGTTTCAATTGTTGGACATAATTAGGAAATGCATTTAAAAAGCACACTGGACTTTTTTTTTGTTCCCATTTAAAGAAGTTAATTATAGGCGTTATTCTTGAAAACATCTCACAGATGATTCACCCATTACTCCACTGTTAACTACACCACCTGTCTCCCTCTCAGCCTCGGCTGTGTTCCTATTGGACAGTGGCGCTATGGAAGCGTGGATGGTCTTTGTTCAAAAGCAGCTGCTGCGCCAGAACACGCGGGGAGTCGGTCTGCTTCCATGGTCAATAAGAGCATGACTGTGTTGAGCGCGCCTTCCCAGACAGCGCTGCAGCGTTCAGCAGTGCAGATGATGCCTTGTTAAGCACTCCTCACAGATCCTCCACAAAGCCATGGCTTAAAGGGAGAGAAAGGGAGATGGGTTCCCAAACTGAGGACGGTATCAGCCTGTGTAAAAAGGCTTTGCAGATCGTTACTGAACTTTGCCTCGGAGGGCAAGTAGATCGGGAAAAATGCACAGATATCTTCCCCCTGGAGAGAACCATACCAGGTAAAAGCAGCACAGGTAAATTGGTCTCCACTCTTTGCTTTTACTTACTTTGCAGCTTGTGCTGTGCCCGTGTTTTATCAATGTACTACCTGATGACAGTGCACGCTGAACTCAAATGTGTGGGATGTAGCGCTACTAATAGAGCAATAGGCTGTGTGGGCGTTTATTTCGCCTTTGTAACCAGTATGGTCCTGAGACTGAATAGAGAAGTAGAAGCGAAGTCCCTGTAAGGGTTTGTATTAACTTTGTTTTATGCAAAATACTAAAACCTGTTAAAAGGGACCTACTGTACCAGGTATTAACGCACGAAATAAACGATAACGACAGTACGTAGTGGTTAATGCTTTGATTTGATGTCGAGGACCATGCGTAGCCGTAAGACAGCACGTTAATTTTATCTGTACTCCAGGTGTACATTTTTCAAATGTGTACGAATTTGATCTCGTTAGCATTGTACTCTGTGACTGCGGTGTTTTCTGTTTTCCCGTTAATGTAGTCAGAAGCGCAGTCCTTAGAGGGACAGCTTCCCACCTGTAGCTTTTTAGCTGTATTGCAACAGGTTGCCACTTGCCGAGAACAGTAATTCCTTTACAGTGCTCTGTTGCGAACTGAATGCTGTTTTACAAGGTAACGCTGATACCTCGCGATCAGGATTTTAAATGCGCTGTGCATGTAATATTACCAGAGACATTTTTATTTTCTATAAAAACGATAATGTTGGAGATCGTAAGAGTCAAAATATGTTTTGAAAATCTCAATGACTCTTTAAAACAAACATTGTCAATCGTCAATCTATATACATTTGGTGCTGTTACGGAAGGTAGCGATGGCAGTAAACGATAATCGTAAATTATATACAGTACACTAAAATGTTGCCCTTCGCACGACTGGTTTAATCTGGGAAAAAGCGTCAGTGCAAAAGATGTCAGGTCTCAGTGAAAAAATATGTGAATGAATTTTTGTTTTCATTCATACAAATGCATCCTTGTGTCAGTGGGCAGTTGAAAGGGAAACAATGCCTTCAGCATGATGGTATTGCATGGAATTCGCCATAAGCTTTGGATCATTATCCTTCTCAACCTTGGCTCCTAAATCTTTTTTTTTTATCGTTCCCAGTTTGAAACGGCATTTCTAGAGATGAAATGCATACATATTTTCTGTACCAAAATATTTGTCCAGATGGAATAATTAAAATAGCACTTTTATATTAGCTAATAATATCTCATGGATGTTTTAAAACGTATGTGCATGATTAAAATAACGGTTTAACTACTGTATAATCAATGTGTGCGATACTGAAGGACTGAAAGAATCATCTTGAAACGGAAAACAAACGAATACTGTGCGACTTGGTCATAACTTCATGGAACCAACAGTGTATGGTTATTCTGCACAGGAAATTAATGTGCATATGTAAAATACATTAAACTTGCAGAATCCTGCAAGTAGTAGAACGTGAAACATAAATTAATTTCATACCTTAAATAGAAAGTTATACTGGGAGGTACAGTATCAGTTTGCTTTTTTGCTCGGTTTCAGAAAAATATTAAATAGTAAAAAATCATAGTATTTTTTATTAAGCCCAGAATTGTATTTTCTTCAGTATGTATATTGTGTAGGTATTGAAGCTATTGATTCATAAAATAATTTAATAATTTATATTTAAGCTGAACATAACAAATATAATACTACTATTGCTTTTGCTGTACTTGTTATTGGGGGGAGGGATTTAAAGAGAGATCACTCTAAAATAAAAACAGCTGTGATCTACAAAAAAAAACTAAAACAAATCTTTACTGCTCACTACAAAAAGAAATGCCATAGCTTTGAGGTTTTCTTGTGGTTTAAATCAATTATTTTTAAAATGTGGTTTTACAATGGTTCATAGTGTACAATAAATACACACATTGTGTGTACATTCATAATATATATGCATGCTACCTGTGTTTTTCCTCTGTAGAATGTGATGAGCTTCACGTGTAGTGCATATATTCTGTATGTCTGGTTTTTAAAGAGGCTCTGCTGGCACAATGAGACCGTAAGAAGTGTCCACCCAAGAGGACATTGCTACTCATTCTGAATGTGTGTTAGTATTCCTTCCATAACCGAGTGAATATTGTATGTGAATTATATATGGACACTGGTCACTTCTGACATCATGGTTCCAGTGTGAATATAATTCTGTTGCCTGTTGCTGTCCGCTTACAATTTAGCTTTCTAATAAAGGATTGGCAAGAAACATAGTTGCTGGGCAGCCAGTGAGCTGACTGTAGATCATGCTTATGAAATGAGTCACGCCAAGGACAGAACCTGAGCCAGCTCTGTTTGAGTAGCAATGTCATCATAAAAACTGTTGCCAGAAGATGACACATCTGCTCTGTAGGCAGGTGACATTGCAGCATGAGGCAGCTGTCTCACAGTCCTTGATGATGATTGGATCTGTCCTTTCACTTCTGTTCCAACCTGCCCATCTCAGCTCGCACAACACCAGTCATGAGCTGCCTGTGGTTTAAGGAAGGTGGCTGGGGCAAACGAGTACCTGCCATCACTACACACAGGTTTCATACCTGTACCTCTTATGTACTATAGCATAGTGTAACCACATGTGAAACCTCTGACTTCTTTATTCCCATAATCACTGCTTTCCAACTGGTTTACTGTACATCAAGTAGGAATATAATAGTTTACTGCATGTTATAAGTGACAAGAAGTACAGTCAATTCTCATTGCAATAAAGGGTGGCATCTGTGATTTGGAAAAAAATCCTGTAACTTTCTTCCCAGAAAGACTAAGGAAACCTGACCAGAAACATGACAAGTTTGTTTCATATACTGTAAGTGTGCACCCTTTCACTGAATTGTTGTTTCTCAGTTTGCAAAAAGAGGACTTTAGAATTCACGATTTCCTTCTTAAAAAGACACCAGAACAAACCAAACTTTAACAGCTAATTTATTAGCTTTGACATTGTGTTGAATGTAAGCAATTAACTTTCACACTCTTCCAGTAAAGACCAACAGTGTTTACTGCAGTTCACAATCATTGGAACAAAAGTGTTAAAGGTGTGAGACATTAAATGAATTGAGTTAGTTTCATACAATAAATACTGTAATTCTTAAGAAAGGAATTGGCTTGAAATGCCTTGAGTCCCCAAAACAGCTGCATACTTTAGAATGATAATTCTTACACTGAAAACTTTACATCCAGTCATTATTGCACTGTATTCCACAGAAATGCAAGAGTTACGTGATGGAACTTCTATTAACAAAACCATTTGTGTGTACAGGTATGTGTGTGAGGGATGGTGTTTTTAATTGCATGAAGATATTTGCTAAAGCTTGGTGTAGATTTATAGAAAGGAGTTTTTTTCAATTATAAGTGATAAATTAACAGTTTGTCAGTAGAAAGTATACAACCATTATTTCATAGTTTTGTTTGTCCTAAGATTTTTAAAATAGATTCAGAATGTACACAGCATGCTTTTTTAGGAACAGATTTCACATAATACTACTTAAACATGATAATCTTGTTAAAATGTCTGGTGCTTTCCTTTTCTTTCCTGTCCTTCATGCATGATTCCATTGCTGAGTCTTCTCTAGTGCATCCAAAACCGGTCTTACCACTAACCAGATTAATACTATCTGTGAGCCACAGTACTAGTTGTTTGATCTTCAATTCAAAGCACAAAATGTTGTCTTTGAACAAGCCTTGTCATAAATGCAATTTAATTTAAAGATATATCTTATTATCCCAATTAACCTAAACTGTCAAGATTAAACCTATTGCACCCTTTTTAAAAGAATCTTGTTTAGCAGCTGTCATTTCATCACAAAGATAATTGAGTTACCTCTAGTTCAGTGGATTACGGTATGTCAAGAAGTAAATGATTTGTCACACAACTTCATTTTTGTTTTCATTGGTTGTTCTTTTGGCTGTTTATAGGGATGCTGCATTTTAAAATTCAACAGATTAAACTTAACTAATAATAGAACATTTTAATTTTATATGATGTCTACAGTATATTTGAGTTGCACCCAAGAGCACTCTACAACATGAAACCAACAAAGGAAAGTGTAATTTACAATCTGTTGTGCAATGGGAATTCATAAACCCAAGTCTCCAGCTTCATTTTAAAGGATAATGCTGTTTCCAAGTTTTTATTAGTTGTTGGAGCTCTATTTCAAAGCTGAAGAGCACAAATTAAGGTTTCAGTCATAGTTGACTTTGGCCACATTCTTTGGTAGGGGCAACATTGGATTACACCTACATCTGGGGAAGAAAACAGCAAGCGCTCTGGGTGTTTGATCTTGCCCACTGAAAATGGATGCAGGTAGAGGTGTCTGAGAAAGAAAAACTAATCAGAAAGACCTACAGTCATCTTTTGCTATTCAGGGCCGATGGAAGTGGATGTAATGATATTGCCAAGAAGAAATCCCCTCTTGGAGTGAGAATTTGATAGCTTTTTAGTTGTGAGGTTTAAACTACAAATAAATCAGTTGGAGCTGTAACACTGGAGAAGCAAGAAAAGGCTGTTCAGTTATTAGTGGGGCTTGAAAGAAATTCACAGCTGGCACTCCTAAGCCTGCCCCTGGAGAGCTACAGTGATTCGATGATGATGGGCCTGGTGTGCCCATGTGGTGTACTTTCCCACAGAATAGCCTTTGGTTCAGGGGATGGAGCAAAACTACTGAAGGCTATGGAGAGTGGTGCATTTTTCTTTCTGCAGTGAGAAACACATAAAGAAAAACTGGGCCTCCAGTCAGACAGCAGGTTGTCATGGTGTTTGAGGTTGTGATGCAAAACCCATCTATTGCCCATCTTCACTAATATACTAATATTGCAGCGCTGTAGAAATCTGGGGAACTCCATGGCGGATCATCTTCTGCACAACCTAGACTTACCTTTGTGCAAAGCCTATGTAATAATAAACCTTTATTTAACCAGACAGGTCAAATAAGGACAAATTTGTATTTATAATGGTGACCCGATGAATGCAGTTATATAGCAGGGGAAGATGT